ACCAACAGGAGAAACTCATTAGACCTGGGCGAATGACTGAACACGAGTAGCTGAATGAGTAGCTGAATGAGTAGATGAATGAGCAAGTGATGAGAGTTAATTAGTGGGTCGGTGATTGAGTGGGTGGGTTTAGTGGATGGTTTTGGCGAGTAAGAATTTCAAGATTTGTTTAACCAGGCGAGCAACTCGGGAGACCGCGGATTTTGGCCTCGCCACTCTGCTAGAGCAGCTCGGCTCACCGGGAGGACAAGAGCCTTGACGAGCGGCGCACGGCGGCGGCGGCGGCACGGGACGACCGGCAGAGCCGCGCCAACTTGGCCCAAGTCAAACACCGCCGGTGCCTCACCGCACACACAACGGCGCATGCACGCAGCGGAGACCACAACGCCGCCCGTAAAAAACGAACAAAAAACAACGGGCCCCAATTGAAGAGATACAATGGGGGGAAAGGGGGGGGGGATAAGAGAGCGCTTGGGCACATGCGGGGGGGAGGGGGGGGGGGGCCAATGTGCGGGCAAACCATCTGTCTCTCCGCCTGATGACGAGCACCACTTTGTGTTGCGATCGAAACGTCGTGAGTTGTTGGTTTTTTGAATTTTACATTTTTACTATTTTTTTAATTTCTATTCTTACATTTTTATATCTACATGACTTTACAGAAAGAACTAAAGAATATGGAAACCATCTGTCGCTAACGACCCCCCCTCCACCTCTGCCACCCTCCACTCCACCGCCCCCACCACGGCAACCGCGGCACGGAACGACGACACTGAAAAAAACAAAACACAACAACAACAACAAAAACCCCGAGCGAGCGTCTCGGTTTTTTTTCCCTCCGCGACCCCCCCCCCCCAACTGCGGGGTCTAACGGCGGCGTCTTCAGCTGCGGGCGGCGTGGCTCAGGGCAGCGCTTTGTGACCCCCCCCCCCCGCGAGATCCCGTGGCGCGCTGCGCAGGAGGCTCGCGGCGAGTGCCCAAGCCCCGTCGCACCCTCTGTGGCTCCCACGGCGCTGCATAGGTTGGGCCTCGAGACTTGCTGGGACCGCTCCCCGCTGCTGGACGTGTCACAGCCACCGGCCCTCCGCCCTCCTGCCCAATATCTACGGCGGTGGTTCTCGACCAATTTGTTCGCTGCGACTGTTACGCCCCCTCCGCCCCCCCCCCGCCCCCCGCCTTGTTGAATTTTGTTTTTGACGACCGTCCTCGTGCATGCGGGGGGAGCGGTGGCGCAGCGGTTAGCGCCACGCTGCGCTACGAACCCGGCGACCCGGGTTCGATTCCCGCTCACGGCCACCAACACCGCCGGTGACGACTATCTGAACCGGTCCTGGGCCTCCCCCAGGTCGACTCGGCCTCAAATGAGTACCTGGCGTGGGTTGTAAACATCGCCACTGGGGAGACAAAGGCGACCGGGTCGTGGTGCTGGCCACCCCCCCCTCGTGTGCCGTGCCGGCCCTTCAAAGGTGCTCGCTAGCAGCACTTGCCCCAACAGTCTGTTAAGGCTACACGGGGGATCTTTGTCTTTGTTGTAGGACAATGCGTCGGCGTACGGACACGGCCAACTCGGTAAAGTCACGTAGAAGGGAAGTAATAAAATAATAAAGAAAAGAGGGAGGGGAAATGAGACCGCAGGCGATCGGTTGACATGAACGCTCGTTCGATGGCCGCTAGCGCCTTGATGGATATCAGGGTCACGGACCTCGGTGTGCCACGGTTGGCAAGATGTTGACTACCTCGCCTGGTGTACAGGAGGTCGTGGGTTCGATCCAGACCCTGACACCTGTTGTATATTTGGAGTTTGCGTGTCTCTCTCTATCATCATCACGGTGGCTAGGAGATGTTAACTACCTCGCCTGGTATACAGGAGATCTTGGGTTTTATCCCGACCCTGACGCCTGCTGTATACTTGGAGTTTGCGTGTCTCTCTCTCTCATCATCATCATCACGGTGGCTAGGAGATGTTAACTACCTCGCCTGGTATACAGGAGGTCGTGGGTTTGATCCCGACCCTGACGCCTGCTGCTGTATATTTGGAGTTTGCCTGTCTCTCTCTCTCTCATCATCATCACGGTGGCTAGGAGATGTTAACTACCTCGCCTGGTATACAGGAGGTCGTGGGTTCGATCCCGACCCTGACGCCTGCTGCTGTATATGTGGAGTTTGCCTGTCTCTCTCTCTCTCATCATCATCACGGTGGCTAGGAGATGTCAACTACCTCGCCTGGTATACAGGAGGTCGTGGGTTCGATCCCGACCCTGACGCCTGCTGCTGTATATTTGGAGTGCGCCTGTCTCTCACCCCCCGTGGTCGTGTAGATTTTTCTCCGGGTCCTCCGTTTTTCCCTCCACATTTAGAATCAACTCTTCCTCCACGTTTGTGCGTTCAGAGCATTTGGCTGCTGTACATTTCCACGCGATAAGGAATCTCGTGCAGCTATCATTTGTGACAGCCTGGTCGCTTCTCAAAAAAAGCTGTACAGCTCTCCACAAACAACAACAACAATCGCCATTCGCCACTAAGTGGCGGTGACGTCACCACGAAGCTTGTGCCAGGCAAACACACAGAGACACACACGCAACTAAGATACAGAAATAGGGGGATTATGGGTAAAAGACACTGACGCCACCACCGCCGTCACAATCACTGCCAACGCTTCAACCCTCCCTCCGGCAGATGCCGCAGCATCTGGACATCTGCGCCGAAAGAGCTTCGTAAGCCACATCGGATTCGTCCGATATAAATAGATATTCTGATTCCGCGACCTTCCAAAGCAAGCAAAAAGCGCGCGCGGCAAACAACAACAACAACAACGACAACAACAACGACAACGACAACAACAACAACAACAACAAGATCAAGAACATTCGAAAACTCCGAACACGTGACCACTCCATCGGAGCAAGCAGCACGCACTAAAAACAAACCGACACCGTCATCGTGTTGCGATGGTGCCGCACATCGCAGGGATCACCGCGCCCACCGTCCCGCGCTCACCTGCACCCCGCCCCCCCCGCCCATCTCCTCGGCTCGTAGAGTCGCACTGCTGCCTCTCGGCAACCAGAAACACTTCGGGGCTCGGCGTTTTCGCCTAATAGGGCCCACCTCCCCCCCCTCCCCCCCGGCGCATGTGACCATCCGGGGAGCGCTGGTAGCATATAAAAAAACCACGCACGTAGGTATGTTTTATATATATGACGGTAATAACGGTGATGGGTTGAACGCAGAACGGGCACGGGTAGGACGGTCGAAATGGATTTGGGGGGCGGCGGTGGTGGTGATGTTGGCAGTGGTGGGGGCGGGGGGGGGGGAATTAACGACGGCGGTCTAGCCTCTGCCACCGTGGCACTTTCCCACACACAAGGTGCCCTCTGGATCAAATTATTAATAATAGCAGCAGCAGCAGCAGCAGCAGCAGCAGCAGCAGCAGCAGCAGCAGCAGCAGCAGCAGCAGCAGCAGCAGCAGCAGCAGCAGCAGCAGCAGCAGCAGCAGCAGCAGCAGCAGCAGCAGCAGCAGCAGCAGCAGCAGCAGCAGCAGCAGCAGCAGCAGCAGCAGCAGCAGCAGCAGCAGCAGCAGCAGCAGCAGCAGCAGCAGCAGCAGCAGCAGCAGCAGCAGCAGCAGCAGCAGCAGCAGCAGCAGCAGCAGCAGCAGCAGCAGCAGCAGCAGCAGCAGCAGCAGCAGCAGCAGCAGCAGCAGCAGCAGCAGCAGCAGCAGCAGCAGCAGCAGCAGCAGCAGCAGCAGCAGCAGCAGCAGCAGCAGCAGCAGCAGCAGCAGCAGCAGCAGCAGCAGCAGCAGCAGCAGCAGCAGCAGCAGCATCAGCAGGAGGAGGATGATGAAAAGGACGAGGAGGGGGGAAGAGGAAGATGAGTAGGACGGAGGAGGAGGAGGATGGAGCAGGAGCACCGGACCTCACCGCTGCACCGTGCCAAGTTCTCGCATCGCTCAGCACAACTCCTGCGGGCGTGGTGGTGCGGAACGTCGGGACGTCGTGGCAATTGCCGCAGGACGTCGTCAAGTGAGCACTCGAATTCGACGTCTCCATGGCGCACCTCATTGGCTCGCGAGTGACGACATCGCGTTGAAGAGTGAAACAGGAGGAGGATTTCTCCACAAATCTGGCTGTCGCCTGATGATGCCGGTCGCGAATGCTGCCGAAACGTCGTGCCCAGATTGTAAATGTTGTGGCTTTGCTCTCCGACACACCGGTGTTGCTGTACCGGTAACGAATTGGCCACGTTCTGTTTACGTGACAAACCTTACCAATCGGCTGTGTCGGGTGGTGGTGGTGGTGGCGGGTGAAAAAGACAACCCCCTCGTGTGCTTCATTTTAATTTCGTCCCGAATCATCGAGGACCCATCTTCTTGGTTCTTTCGGTAAAGTCACGTAGAAGGGAAGTAATAAGACCAGGTCTGTCGGGGAGACAGCTGTTTCCCCGACAGACCTGGTCTTCACCTGAGGACGGCTGCTTGCGTTGTGGCCGAAACGTCGTGAAAATTATTTTATTATGTTTTATTTTTTATTATTTTATTACTTCCCTTCTACGTGACTTTACCGAAAGAACCAAGAAGATGAATCCCTGCAGTCACGAAAGCTTTAAATCGAAATTCATCGAGGACCCGTGAGCGGACGGAGATTGTCGAGCGGCACGGCGACTTGCGACCACCCGCGACAAACACCCCAAAGCGTGACGCACCGTGACCTGGACACACGTGACCTGGTCACACGTGACCTGGCCACGGTCCGTGACCCGTGGCGGCCTGGCCACAAATGACAGCCCGACCGAGTGGCTCAGCACGTGGTAACTGATCGCACGTCGATTCTAAACGCGGAGGGAGAAAAAGCGGAGGAGCCGGAGAAAAACCCGCGCGACCGCAACGGGGGGGGTGGGAGAGACACGCAAACTTCAAACGTGCGCCGGGCATCGTCAGGCTCTGGGATCGAACCCACGACCTCCTGTATACCGGGCGAGCGCAAGGAGACGGAACGCGACAACCCACGTACCGGCATCGGCCGCCACCATCGTGGACTGGTTCTCGGGCAGCGACGGCGTCTCCTCCTGCTCCAGGCTCTGCGAGTCGTCCAGACCGTCCGCCTGGCTCGCGCTGAGCTCCGACTCCTGCTCCAGGTACTCATCCTCCTCGCTGGCGTGAGGGCGGCAGGGAAGGAGGGGGGATGGGCGGACCGCACGCAGAGGGGGACAGCGCGTCAGCGACGTCCAGGCGACGTGTTAGCGCGGCGCAGAGCAGCGCTTGTCCTACGCCTGTGGATCCCCGCCGTAGATGACGACGCCGCAGCGGCTTTGTTACCCCTCCCGCTGCATGAGGCTCGCGGCGAGCTCCAAAGTCTCATTTCGATTTAAAGCTTTCGTGACTGCAGGGATTCATCTTCTTGGTTCTTTCGGTAAAGTCACGTAGAAGGGAAGTAATAAAATAATAAAAATAAAACATAATAAAATAATTCTCACGGCGTTTCGGCCACAACGCAAGCAGCAGACGCTGTCTCCCCGACAGACCTGGTCTTCACCTGAGGACGGCTGCTTGCGTTGTGGCCGAAACGTCGTGAGAATTATTTTATTATGTTTTATTTTTATTATTTTATTATCTCCCTTCTACGTGACTTCACCTCCAAAGTCTCGCCGCACCCTCTGGCTCCCACCGCGTTGCCCCCGTTGGGCCTCAGGACTCGTGGAGACCGCTCCCCGTTGGCCATGTCGTAGCCACCGGCCCTCCGTCCTCCTGCCCGATATCTACGGCGGTGGTTCTCGACCAATTTGATAGCTGCGACTGTTACACCCCCCACACCCCCCCACCCAACTTGTTGAATTTAGTTTCAACCCAAGATACCAGCCACCTTGCCCGACCCCCAACATGGTTGTGGAAAATAAATGGACGAATAATGAACGTCAATGTCTTGTGAGGTGTACAACATAACATAACTAGCTAAGTAACCGCAAGCGAATTAAATAAGATTCAACGGACGCTCTGCACGCGTGGCGGAATTAGTTCCGCGCGCTGGTTTGAAACCACGTCGCCTACGATCAGCGAGTTCAGAAAGGTCTTTCACATCGTTCTGGTTTGCCCTGTGGATGTAAATGTAATCATTGTTATTTTATATTGGCAGATTCATACGTGATTATTCGCCAATTTACTCTCATGCATTATATAATTTCACACTTTTATAAGTCTGGGACATTGCCACGTACCGCCCCCCTCCGCCCCCCCCGGGTGTCCGCGTACCCCTGGTACAGAACCACTCGTGTGGACGATGGACCTCGCACGCCAGTTCGTTGCGCGTGTCGTACTCTATGTCCAACTCTGCTCAGGCCTCCCGCCAGTCACGTGACCTCCCGTCAAATCATGTGACCTCCCGCCAGTCACGTGACCTCCCGTAAAATCATGTGACCTCCCGCCAGTCACGTGACCTCCCGCCAGTCACGTGATCTCCCGTAAAATCACGTGACCTCCCGCCAGTCACGTGACCTCCCGTAAAATCACGTGACCTCTCGCAAGTCACGTGACCTCCCGTAAAATCACGTGACCTCTCGCAAGTCACGTGACCTCCCGTAAAATCACGTGACCTCTCGCAAGTCACGTGACCTCCCGTAAAATCACGTGACCTCTCGCAAGTCACGTGACCTCCCGTAAAATCACGTGACCTCTCGCAAGTCACGTGACCTCCCGTAAAATCACGTGACCTCCCGCCAGTCACGTGACCTCCCGTAAAATCACGTGACCTCCCGTAAAATCACGTGACCTCCAGTAAGTCACGTGACCGCCCGTAAAATCACGTGACCTCCCGCCAGTCACGTGACCTCCCGTAAAATCACGTGACCATCGCTCTAAATCCCTCCCCTCTGCCCGCCCCCCTGTGAAAACACAAACCCACCCCGTGCAGCTCGGTCCTTCCTTCTCTCTTCTCCCTTCTCATCACAATCACCATCCCTCTCATCCCCGACATCTTGGCTGTCCCCCCCTCCTCCTTCCCCCTCCCCCCCTCCTCATCCCCCCCCCCCTCCTCTGATCCTACTCCTCCTGCCTCTCCCTCTCTTCCAGCCCCTCCCCCCGTCCGCTGCCCTGTTGCGCAAGCAACTCCAGTCCCCTTCCCGTCATCGTCGTCGTGAGCCACGGGTTAAAGGTTTTTACGCAACAACAGTGAACTCACCGTGACGAAAGATAAGTGGGCAACTGCAGAGGTCGGCCGTGGTATGATCAAACACTGGGCGCCACAATGGCGAGATGTTAACTACCTCGCCTGGTATGGAGGAGATCGTGGGTTCGATCACGACCCTGATGGTGTTGCGTTACGCGGCGCACGGCCGTGGGCTGTGCCGCCAATTAAAGGTGACCGGGCAGGACGCGATGTCCGCACCCCTCCTGCATCCCCCTGCTGCCCCCTCCCCCCAGAGAGGGGCCACCGGGCTTGCTGGGTAAAATCGTCCACGAGCCCTTGGGGCCAAGTCGATCGCCGGGAGAGAAGGCGCGGCGTCAATAATCGGAAGAGACGGCGTTTAATTTTCTCAATTAGTGAATGCGATTATTTTGTTTTCTTACATTAACGTCTTTTGGGCAGCGCAAGCCTCCGTCGGTCAGAGAACGAACGCGCTGAAGCGGACGCCACAGCGCGACCTCTCATCAAATCCCCGCCAGCACGGACACGTGTGTACGCACGCTACGTTGAACATCTTTCACACCGTACGTAGCCGACCGTGGATAATTGGAAGTGCTAAGCGACCGCCCCCCCCCAAACCCCCCGGTTCCACGCAGTACAGGGAGACGTCGTGAATTCGGGGGGGCCCCCGTTTCCCTTCCCTCCCTCCCCTCCCTCCCACCCTCCCACCCTCCCTCCCACTAGCCCACCCTCCCACTCTCCCTCCCACCCTCCCACCCTCCCTCCCCTCCCACCCTCCCTCCCCTCCCACCTTTCCTCCCACCCTCTCCTCCCACCCTCCCTCCCACCCTCCCTCCCCTCCCACCCTCCCACCCTCCCTCCCTCCCACCCTCCCACCCTCCCACCCTCCCCTCCCACCCTCCCTCCCTCCCACCCTCTCACCGAATAGTTGACCCCTGCAGCCGGTCGATCTTCTTGTTGAGCTCGGCGATGACGCTGTGCAGCTCGGTGATGCGCTCCTCGTAGCGGAGGGTCGCCTTCTCCCGCAGCTCCTCGTTCTCACGCATGAGGCAGGCGGGCTCGCGCTGCGCACGCACACAACAAACACAAAGATCCCCCGTGTAGCCTTAGCAGACTGTCGGGGCAAGTGCTGTTAGTGAGCAGCACCTACGAAGGCCGGCACGGCACGCGAGGGGGGGGGGGGGGTGGGTGGCCAGCGCCACGCCCGGCCGCCTTTGTCTCCCCAGTGGCGATGGTTTACACACCGCACCAGGTACTCATTTGAGGCTGAGTCGACCTAGTGGAGGCCCTGGACCGGTTCAGATAATCGTCACCGGTGTTTGGCGGCCAAGAGCGGGAATCGAACTCGGGTCGGCAGGTTCGTGGTGCAGCTGCGAAAACCGCTGCGCCACCGCTCCCCACATGGACGCACAAACACAGACAAAGATCCACCGTATAGCTTTCAACAAACTGTAGGGGCAAGTGCTGTTAGTGAGCACTTATGAAGGCCGGAACGGTACATAAGAGGGAGCATGGCATACACCACGCCCGGCCGCCTTTGTCTCCCCAGTGGCGATGTTTACTACACACCGCACCAGGAACTCATTTGAGGCCGAGTCGACCTAGGGGAAGCCCTGGACCGGTTCAGATAATCGTCAAGGGTGTTGGCCATGAGCGGGAATCGAACCCGGGTCGCCGGGTTCGTAGCGCAGCGCGCTAACCGCTGCACCACCGCTCCCCACAGTCGGGCACACACAGACACACAACAAAGCGCCACCATTCGTCCTTTCGGATTGTTGGTGCCGTTGGCGAGCGTCACGGGACGGCTATGAAAACGACAGAGCACGCCGCGGTTACGGACTACAGTAATCCCTCGCCACTTCGCGGTTCAAGTTTCGCGGCCTCAGTGCATCGCGGATTTTTCGAACTGATTTAAAGGCCTCATTATACCTGTGCAGTAGCACCATCATCATCATTCATCATCACATTCATCGAACTGCACAGGTCTGTCATCGTAGTCATTGTCATCGTCATTGTCATTGTCGTCATTACTGGAGTCAAGTCTCAAGATACTACCGTCATTGGTGAGTGTAGAACACCATAATACGTATCGTATGAGAGACAGAGAGTGAATGTATAATATTAAGGTTTAATAATTAAATAGATTTAAGTAAAATATATAAAGTATAAATATACATATTTTAAACATTCTGGTACCCACACACACATATACGGAAATTCCTAGGGGGCCAATCCTATTTCGCGGATTTTCACCTATCGCGAGGGGTTCCGGGCCCCATTAACCGCGATAAACGAGGGGTCACTGTACACTTTCGTCGCTTCACTGCTGGACAGGTGGCCTCCCGATTGGCGCGTCGATCATCGACGTTGTCTGTCCGACCAGACTTCGCCACGCTCGTCAGTGCGCGGGAGGCGGCGGCGGAGACGGGAGAGCAGTCACGTTGCGGTGCGCTAACCGCTGCGCCGCCGCTCCCCCCGCACCCCCACCCGCAGCTTAGGGACAAGGGGGTCGATAGCGCAACGCAACTCGGATGTGCAAAGGGGCCGTCCATAAATGACGTCACGCGATTTTGGACGATTTTTGACCCCCCCCCCCTTCGTCACACGGCATCACAAAAAGTCAGACCCCTCCCTCAAATATGACGTCACAAAGCTCTGCCCCCCCCCAAAATAAAACATGCTTCAAATCGCTTTAAACTATTGTCATTGTAGTGCGTATTTAATGTGGCGCTGCACTCTGATGTTGTAGGAGAAAACATTCATTAAAAAGTTTATTTAATTAAGTAGAACGTGTTGTCTATATTTGTTTAAAGTTGCGCATTTTTACGTGACGTCACATTTCTCAAACCCTGCACCCCCCAGGTGCGTGACGTCATTTATGGACGGCCCCAAAGGCGTCTCGAAGGACGCCTCAACCCTGACGCGAGCCGCGCCGCGTGGGGCGGTGACCTCAGGCTGGCCCCCGTCGGGGAGGGCCCAGACCACGTGGCCGAGAGACCACGCGGCTCCGAGAGACCACGCGGCTCCGAGAGACCACGCGGCTCCGAGAGACCACGCTGCGCCGAGAGACCACGCGGCTCCGAGAGACCACGCGGCTCCGAGAGACCACGCGGCTCCGAGAGACCACGCGGCTCCGAGAGACCACGCGGCTCCGAGAGACCACGCGGCTCCGAGAGACCACGCGGCTCCGAGAGACCACGCGGCGCCGAGAGACCACGCGGCGCCGAGAGACCACGCGGCGCCGAGAGACCACGCGGCGCCGAGAGACCACGCGGCGCCGAGAGACCACGCGGCGCCGAGAGACCACGCGGCGCCGAGAGACCACGCGGCGCCGAGAGACCACGCGGCTCCGAGAGACCACGCGGCTCCGAGAGACCACGCGGCGCCGAGAGACCACGCGGCTCCGAGAGACCACGCGGCTCCGAGAGACCACGCGGCTCCGAGAGACCACGCGGCTCCGAGAGACCACGCGGCGCCGAGAGACCACGCGCGCCGAGAGACACGCGGCGCGAGAGACCACGCGGCGCCGAGAGACCACGCGGCGCGAGAGACCACGCGGCGCCGAGAGACCACGCGGCGCCGAGAGACCACGCGGCGCCGAGAGACCACGCGGCGCCGAGAGACCACGCGGCGCCGAGAGACCACGCGGCGCCGAGAGACCACGCGGCGCCGAGAGACCACGCGGCGCCGAGAGACCACGCGGCGCCGAGAGACCACGCGGCGCCGAGAGACCACGCGGCGCCGAGAGACCACGCGGCTCCGAGAGACCACGCGGCTCGAGAGACCACGCGGAGCCGAGAGACCACGCGGCGCCGAGAGACCACGCGGCGCCGAGAGACCACGCGGCGCCGAGAGACCACGCGGCGCGAGAGACCACGCGGCGCCGAGAGACCACGCGGCGCCGAGAGACCACGCGGCGCCGAGAGACCACGCGGCGCCGAGAGACCACGCGGCGCCGAGAGACCACGCGGCGCCGAGAGACCACGCGGCGCCGAGAGACCACGCGGCGCCGAGAGACCACGCGGCGCCGAGAGACCACGCGGCGCCGAGAGACCACGCGGCGCCGAGAGACCACGCGGCGCCGAGAGACCACGCGGCGCCGAGACACCACGCGGCTCCGAGAGACCACGCGGCTCCGAGAGACCACGCGGCTCCGAGAGACCACGCGGCTCCGAGAGACCACGCGGCTCCGAGAGACCACGCGGCTCCGAGAGACCACGCGGCTCCGAGAGACCACGCGGCGCTGAGACACCACGCGGCTCTGAGAGACCACGCGGCGCTGAGAGACCACGCGGCGCTGAGACACCACGCGGCTCTGAGAGACCACGCGGCTCTGAGAGACCACGCGGCTCTGAGAGACCACGCGGCGCTGAGAGACCACGCGGCTCTGAGAGACCACGCGGCGCTGAGAGACCACGCGGCTCTGAGAGACCACGCGGCTCTGAGAGACCACGCGGCTCTGAGACCACGTGGCTGAGAGACCCGTGTCAATGCGGGATTCCAATTGTGGGGTGGGAGGGGAGGGGGCAAGGAAGGGTGGTGGGGGGGAGATAGCTGGGGTCACAAAGCAGCCCGTGAACTTATACCACATCAATACACGCACACTTGCGCATAAGTGCACACACACACACGCACACACACTTGCGCATAAGTGCACACACACACACGCACACACACGTGCACACGCACACACACGTGCACACATGCACATGCGCGCACACACACACGCACGCACACACGCGCACACACGCACGCAGACACGCACACACGCACGCAGACGCACACACACACGTGCACACACACACGTACGCACACACACACTTGCACACACATGCACATGCGCAAACACGCGCACGCACGCACACGGGCAGTGTAAATGAAGTCCAGCGCGATGCACAATTTGGTCAAGCGTCATGCCCGGCCGTCTTTGTCTCCCCAGTGCCGACAGTACGTTTGTTTACTGCATACCGCACCAGGTGCTCATTTGAGACGGAGTCGACCTAGGGGAGGCCCAGGCCCGGTTCAGCCATTCGTCACTTGCGTTGTCCAGTGCACTAACTACAACACTACCGCTACCCACACGCACAACCCGCACAACAACAACAACAACCGCCATTCGCCACTAAGTGGCGGTGACGTCACCACGACGCTTGTGCCAGGCTATGTGCACCTTGAGGCCACGTGAAGTGTCGAACGCCCGCTGGCAGGAGGTCACGGGGCAGACTCAGGTGCCACGGGTCGACTGACACACACCAAGAAAAATATCTCCTGTACATCCTTGACAGACTGTAGGGGGAAGTGCTGTTAGCGAGCACCTATCAAGGCCGGCACGGCTCACGAGGGGGTGAGAGAGTGGCCAGCACCACGCCCGGCCGCCTTTGCCTCCCCAGTGGCGCGATGTTTACACACCGCACCAGGTACTTATTTGAGGCTGAGTCGACCCAGGGGAGGCCCAGGATCGGTTCAGATAATCGTCACTGGCGTTGGTGGCCGTGGGCGGGAATCGAACTCGGCAATCTGCTGGGTTCGTAGCGCAGCGCGCTGACCGCTGCACCACCGCTCCCACACTCGACAATTCACGCACAGTGACTTACAAAGACAAAGATCCCCCGTGTAGCCTTAACAGACTGTTGGGGCAAGTGCTGTTAGCGAGCACCTGTGAAGGCCGTCACGGCACACGAGGGGGTGGGTGGCCAACACCACGCCCGGCCGCCTTTGTCTCCCTAGTGGCGATGTTTACACATCGCACCAAGTACTCATTTGAGGCTGAGTAGACCTAGGGGAGGCCCGGGACCGTTCAGATAATCGTCACTGGTGTTGGCCGTGAGCGGGAATCGAACCCGGGTCGCCAGGTTCATAACGCAGCACGCTAACCGCTACACTACCGCACACACAGTGACACACACACACAGTGACACACATACACAGTGACACACACACACACAGTGACACACACACACAGTGACACACACAGTGACACACACACACAGTGACACACACAGTGACACACACACACAGTGACACACACAGTGACACACACACAGTGACACACAGTGACACACACACA